GTAACCGTATTTTGCATGTGAGGAAGACACGAATCATTAGGGGCTACAAATCACACTGTAGTACCTAGTCTCCAAAGATAGCTCCCAATGAACTGTGCCTTTTGAGGATGTTTTTAATCACGAATTCAATCTCTTTACTTGTTATACGACTTCATGCATTACAGAGCAGAACTGCTCCATAGGGTTTTCTTGGCTGTAATTTTTACAGAAAGCCCTGGTGGTGCAGTGGTTAAAGTGCTCAGCTGCTAACAAAAAAGTCAGGGGTTCCAACCCAGGTCTATTCAGACTTTTTATTACTTCTTGAGTTAGTTTCAGAAGCTTGTCTTTCTAGAATTTGTCTTTTTCTTAGAATTTCATCTAAGTTATCTAATTTATCGTTATACAGCTGCTAATAACTGGTGACTGTTGAGTAGATTCCGTCTCATAGCGACCCTATAGGACAGAGTAGAACTGCCCAATAGAGTTTTCAAGAGCACCTGGTGTATCAAACTGCCACCCTTTTGGTTAGCAGTCATAGCTCTTTAACTACTACGTCACCAGGGTTTCCACAGCTGCTAATAGGATTTCCTTATAATCCTTTTTATTTCTATAAGGTTGATAGTGATGTCTCCTCTTTCATTCTTGATTTTAGTATTTTATGTCCATTCTATTTTTCTCTTGGTCGGCCTAGCTGGAAGTTTGTAAATTTTGTTGACCTTTCCAAAGAACAAACTTTTGTTTCATTAATTGTCTCTACAGTTCTTCTAGTCTCTAGTTCATTTATTTCTGCTCTAATCTTTATTATTCCCTTCATTCTGTTTGCTTTGGACTTACTTTGCTCTTCTTTTTCTATTTTCTTAAGGTAGAAGGTTAGGTTATTGATTTGAGAGCATTCTTCTTTTTTAAAGATAAGCATTTATATCTATAAATTTACCTCTCAGTATTGCTTTAGTTGCATACCATAAGTTTTGGTATATTTTTTGTTTTCATTCACCTCAAATTTTCCCCGTGATTTCGTCTTTGATCATTGGTTATTCAGGACATAAAAATATGTTTAATTTCCACATATTTTTGAATTTACAAGATTTTGTGGATTTATAAGATTTATGGTTCTACTCCGCAACACGTGGGGTTGCCATGGCTCAGAATCAACTCAACTGCAACTGGTTTGAATATTGTCTACCCTGGAGAAAGTTCCATGTGCACCTGAGAAGAAGGTATATTCTGTTGCTACTGGATAGAATATTCTATAGATGTCTATTGGGTTTAGTTTATCGTGTTATTCCAGTACTTTTATTTCCTTTTTAATCATCCATCTAGTTGTTTGTACTGATGAAGTCAAAGACTACAGACTTCAGTATGGATTACAACTGACTGCAAAGAAAAGAAAAAGCCTCACAACTGGTACCATAAACAACATCATGATAAAAGGTGAAAAAAATGAAATCTGTCAAGAATTTCATTCTACTTGAATCAACAATGAACACCCACGGAAGCAGCAGTCAAGAAATCAAATGACTTATTGCAGTGGACAAAGCTGTAGCAAAAGACCTCTTTAAAGTTCTAAAAAGTGAAGATGTCATATTAATGATTAAGGAGCACCTGAACCAAGCCATGGTCTTTTTAATCACTTCAGATGCAAGCGAAAGATGGACAATAAAAAAAGACAGAAGAAGAACTGATGCATTTGAATTGTGGTGTTGGTGAAGAATATTGAATATACCAGGGACTGCCAGATGAATGGACAAATCATTCTTTAATGAAGTACAGCCACAATGCTCCTTAGAAGTGAAGATGGCAAGATTTCGTTTGCTTACTTTGGACATGTCATCTGTAAAGACCAGTCACTAGAAAAGGACATCATGTTTGGTAAAGGAAAGGGTCAGCAAAAATGAGGGAAATTCTCAACGATAACCAGATTTACACAATAGCCACAAAAATGGGTTCAAATATATCAAAGATCAGTTGGCTCAGTGATCAGCTAATGACAGGTCAGAGATTTACTTAAATGCCTTGAACCAAAAAGTCTTCCACCCTTTGTTGAGGGGCTCTGTATGTTGGGGCACATCTTCAAGATCTAGGGAGTTTACAACTCTGTGCAGGGCTCAATGTCAGCCAGAGGTAAGACATGGAGGCCCTTTCAGATCTTTTCTGGTCAGGCACACAGTCCTGTGTGGCTGGCAGCCTTCTAGATTGCCCAGGAATATATACATGTCAGAGCTTTTCAATGTCTCCTGTGGATATCTCATTCCCTAGATGATCCTTTCAAGTCTCTGGCCAGGGTCTAGTTTGTCTCAATTTGCATCTTGGCATCAGGTAGTTGAGATGTTAAAAAAATTTCCAATGATTTTTCAAAAAATGCCCTATGAATAGGTCTTTTCCTGCAGATCAAATAATGACCATTCCCTACGAATGGGGCTTTTCCAGAGAGCTGTGAGACATGTCAAACAGTGACAAGGCTCTGAGAATGGGACTTTTGGGAGACTTACAAACCTGGAATGCTCTCTCCCAAGGGCTGCAAAAGCGTGCTGATTTTCACAGCTACAGTGTTTATGAGGTTGCTGATTTTCAAGGCTACCACGTATTTCGGAAGATGCGGATGTAAATACCTTACGTCACAATGCCACAACCCTGCTGCTCTTACTGAGATTCCCTCAGTTTTTACTGAATAAACACTCCTTATATTGCTGCAGAAGCCCTGGTGGCTCAGTGGTTAAGAGCTTGACTGCCACCCAAAAGGTCAGCAGTTCATATCCACCAGCTACTCCTTGTCCTATGAGTTGAAATAGACTGGATGGCAACAGGATATTGCTGCAAGCCTTTTGTAATTTCCAGAGTTCTGAAAATTGATTTTCACAATTTTTGCCAGCATTTTTTATTGAGTTTTTTTGGAGGTGAAGATTTTTACTCCATCATTCTAAACGCCTGCTTAGTATATTTTCTTTAACGACTTTCAGAGAAGAAAACAAAACATATTCTTTTATGTTTACCCACATATTTATGTTTTCTCTGCACTGACTTTCCATCTGGTATTGCTTCCCTTTAGTCTGAAAAATATAATTAGCTTTTTTTTTGGAAGGCAAGTCTGCTGATGACAAATCTCTTAGCTTTCCTTTATCTGAAAATGTCCTTATTTTACCCTCATTTTTAAAGGATATTTTCACTGGATATAAAAATCTAGACTAGTAGCTTTTTAAAAATTATTCATTCAGCACTTTAAAGATGCTTTTCTATTATCTGGCCTTCACTATTTCTGATGCGTGGTCAGCCATCAATTTGTATTGTTTACCCCCTTTATGTAATGTGGCATTTCTCTCTAAATATTTTCATGATTTTATCTTCCATTTTCAGAAGTTTGGCTATAATGTGTTTAGGTGGTATTTTGCTGTTGGTATATATATTTCACAATAATAATAACTTTTTTTAAAGTTCATATAGTATAAAATAAATGATTGAATATTCAACTATATAAAACAAAACAAACAACAACAAAAACTTTCACATGGCAAAAACCACCAGAGGCAAAGTACAATAAAACACAGGGCAAAAATCTTAGTAACTTGTATAAAAAAGATAACTTTCTTAACATATAGAGAAGTTCTTAGAAAGCAGTAAGAAAAAGATTAACAATTGAATAGAAAAATGGGAAAAGGATATGAACTAACAGGTGACAGAAAAGAAAATACAAATGGTTCTTTAACCTATGAAAAGATACTCAACCTCTCTCAAAAGAGGATAAGTACAAATGCAAACAGTGACATAATTTTTTTCACCTATCAGACTGAAAAAAATGCAAAAGTTTAATAACACATGGTATTGCTATAGCAGGGGGAAACAGGTAATCTCTTGTTCATCGGTGTTGCTATATATATATATGTATATATACACACACACAATGTGCTATACACATACACACTGGAATACTGACTATTCAACTATGTAAAACAAACAGTACATCAATTAGAACAATTTGGGAATATCAGTAAAAATTATAAATGCATATACTCTTTGATCCAGTAATTCTAATCCCAAGAATTTATCCTATAGATAGTCCTACTCCATGTGAAAGGATGTCTGTATAAGGTCATTCACTGCAGCCCTGTCTGAACTAGCCGAAGCCTGGACATAACCCATAGCCATCATTAGTGCCCTGGCTAAATAAATCATGTTATATACATAAAACAGAATAAGACGCTGCTGCAGGAAAGAATAAAGAAGACCTACATGCACTAAATGGAATCCTAGTGGTGCAGTGGTTAAGAGCTCAGCTGCTAACCAAAAAGTTGGCAGTTCAAATCCACTGGCTGCTCCTTGGAAACCCTACGGGGCAGCTCTATTCTGTCCTGAAAGGGTTGCTGTGAGTCGGAATCGACTCGATAGCAACGAGTTTGGTTATTTTTGGTACCTGTAGTCAAGTCCCACAATTGTTGGCAATATTTATTACTGTTAGAAGTATACATTTTTCTTAGGGGAGAATACAGGGTAGGAAAAAAATACCAACATTTAAGTATAATGACCACATAAAACAAGTCTAAATTGTTTGGGGAAAAAGTCAAATAATGACTTGACGAGAGCTTTTATTTTATCAATATACAAGTAGACCATGCACATGCTTTCAAAAATTTTAATGGTACAGATGGGCATAAGATGTGAAGTAAAGCTGCCCCCAATCCATCTCAAGCCCCATTTTCCAAGGTACTTCTGGTCATATCTGTTCTTCATTTTGATTGGCAGCAGTAAGTCTACCAACTATGCTTACACTTCTATTTCTTGGTTTATCATCTTTAAGCTGTGCCTTTCAACTTTTGCCATGAAAGAGGATAAATTAGTTCAGGGAAGCTATTCCTATCTAACTCCAGCTTCAATTTTTGCTACTATTATTATTATTTATAGATGCTTAAACATTTATTTTGATGCATCAACTTTAAATAGTACTTCTTGGCTCCCTGTTATGGAAGATGGGGAAACATACAAGAGGAAAAACTCAACAGAATCACAGATTAATTTTAAAAAGCATTTACCTTGTTCATAAAGTAGCTTCATATTCGAATCTTTGCAGGCAACCAGATTGCTGAGTAATGCAATCACACTTTGCATCGTGTTACCCAGAATGCTCTCCTGATGCTCCTGTAATAGATAACAGTTTTCACCATGATTGCACAGAAGTACAATTAGATCATAATAAAGAAAAACAAGGAAATGACCTCCATCCCTTCATTACTTTTTGCACTTGAATGAGGCAGATGCTCTGCTCTGGGAAGGCGCTCCCGGAAGTGAGCTAAGTGAGCTGGGAGGCAGAGTGAAACATTCAGAGCACCAGAGCTGCTGCATGCAGGCCCCACTTGTGAGCTGAGGGGCAACCACATGGCCCTCCATGCTTTAGAAGGGTGACAAAGGAGTGAGAGTGACCAGAAATCAAGTAGACAGAATTTAGGACTGCATAACTGAAAAAGATTTTGAGATCACAAAAGAAAACTACTTAAGCAAGGACGTATTTCTGCAGTTTCTAGAGTCTCCTGGTACTGACATTTTCCCACTTTAGTCTTGTACATGCATTATATGGGAGATATGCATCACTGCCTCACTGTTTGTGGACAATAAACTCCATGTGGAACCTAAAAGAGTGAGATGTTTTCGTTTTTTTGTTTGTTTTTTTCCGTCAACACTCAATGTCATATAGCAGGGAGTAACTTAGGCCCTAGAGAGAATGAGGAAAAGTAATAATTCCCTCAGTCTCAATTTTTCATTATAAAGACAAATAAGATGGTTTCTTTGTAAGTGTTAAAGGATGTAAAAAATAATATGCACTTTTTCTCTTGCCTCTGAATTTTTAAAAAATGTAAAAGTAACACGTATTATAACTGAAATTATAAAATTTCAAACAACACAAAAATAAAGAGAAAATTTCCCCATAGGGTCACAACTAGGGTGAGGCAAGCGAGGTGCATAGGGTACAACATTTAAGGAGGTGCTCTCTTTCAGGTCTGTGCAAGGGCAAGCTCTTACTAATAGTGAGGGTGTGTAGGCTTCTAGCTTTCCTCCCTCTAGTCCTGCCCTGTTCCCCTTGACCACTCCCTTAATAACTAGTCCTATCCTGAAAGCTAACAAGTATACCAGTTTAGTAGGTTCCATCCAGACCATTTTCTAGTCATGTTCATACACACATATGGAAATACATGGTTTGCTTTTTTATTTAACATAAATTGTATCATACTTGAGTAATTCACTCAGCAAATAATCAATGAGTAGCTATTATGTGTCAGGCACTGCGCTGGGCACTGGGCTACAGCAGTGAGCCACACCAGCCATAGTCTCTCTGACCTTTCGAAGGTTTCACTTTAATATGAATATATCTTTCCACAAATTTATTCACCAAATATTTACTGAGCATCTGCAATGTGCCAGGCACGGTCCTAGGCACTTGAGATATACTGGTGAACAAAACAAAGCTCCCTGACCTCATGGAAATGGTACATAAAAGACATAACAAATAACTAAACTGAATAGTGTGTTAGAAGTCAGCAAGTACTATCGCCAAAACTACAGAGCAGGAAAGGGGGATAGAGAGAGCAGCTGTGGGGCGTTACATGATTTTAAGTTGTGGTCAAGGTGGGGATCATTGAGAAGGTGCCATTTGAGCAGACATTTCCTCAATAAATACTTATTGTGCATCTAGTATCTGTTTCTGGGAGATGTGGTAGAACTCATTCATAAAATCAACTGGGCTTGGTACATCTTTACCAATAGATCTTTAAATATGTATTTTTTAAAATATTTTCTTCTCAGGTATTTACATCTTGATCCAACTTTGGTTATTTCCATTTTCCTAGAAAATCATCTACAATGCCTCAATTTTCTAACCTATTGTAATAAAATCATACATCTCATTCTCTTAGACCTTCATAAATCTTCTCTGGCTCCTAATTACATTGCCTTGTACACTGCATCCTCCCTCTTTCTTGTCAATCAGACTCACCAAAGCTTTGCTTATTTTATTGGTCTTTTCAAGAAACCAACTTTCCATTTTAATGATCAATCTATATTTTTGCTTCCAGTTAGTCATTATGAACATACACAAATTTCCCACTTCTCTTTCTTAGGTATGCAATACGATGACACTTCCCTGCCTCTCCAAATTGAGGAGGACAACAAGACTTGCTCCAGCCATTTAAACTAATTTGGGCTGAAGCTTTAAGGATCACTGAGAGCTTCATCATCGTCTTTCCTTCTGCCCCGTGACAGTGACATTCCAGATGCTGAAGGTACCAACAGCCCGGGTCCCAGAGTGAGGACATGGAGCAGAGTGTCCAGGAGCCCCTTGATGGACAGGTGGCTTCAAAAGCTTACAAAAACAACAAGGCATGTGGCTCTGAAATTGCTCTCTCAACAGATTTGTCCTTCCCACTGATGAGAGCCACTTGATTTCAGGTAGGTCTTACCATCTATGGCTTTGCTTGATACAAGACAAGGGGTTTGCTTTCCAAATACTGATGCCTAAAAATTCCTAAAACTTTAGAAACACACGCTTAAGAGCAACTTTATGGTGGACACTAATGTTTGAACATTTCGCTGACACCAGCTTAAGAAGATTAACGTGGAAGCGATGGTTTGCCACCAATTCTAATTATTCTTACAGTTGGTTGGAAGGAAAGGGTGATAAATAAGCCCTAAGATGACACTACATGTTATTCATGATAAAGTAACTAATGATACACAGGAAACCTATTCTTGTGAACAAAACTGAAGCTAATCTTTTTTTTTTTTTTTTTTCAGTCCCATTCGGTAAAATGACACATACTGCTCCTTATTCAAAAATCAGTCTGTCAGAGAATATTGGTTGGTCTTACTGGAGATAAATTCATTGTTTCTTTGATGTAAACACTTTTATATGACTCATTCACTTTTTCTATTATGGCCTCAGCAATGTGCCAGTTCCAAAGCCAATACTTCAGTTTTTCCTTGTGTTCACCGGGCAAGTAACACTTGTTAACATAAGCATTTTAGTACAAAAGCCAGCTCTCCAGACCTCTGTTATTCCTGGGCACTAGAAACGTAGGATCAGATCCTGGCCAACCAGATTCTGGGGCTCCCAGCCTGGAGGTCCCAGAGTCACTGTAGAATGAGGGCATCTGCTAGCTCTGCTACACACTGTGCGGAGGGGTGTAAAGCTAAGGTGCACACTGATTATCAAAAGCCCCCATCACCATCATTACTAGGGGTTCTCAGGGAAAAATTCTGATGCACAGAATAAAAAAGAAACCAATACAGCAATCCTGTAACCAGACTGGGAGAAATGGTTCCTTTTCTATTTTAGACGTTATTAAAAACACTGCTGTTTTCTAGTTCCTTTATTGCTGGTTTTCAAAACCATACACAGACTGTGAACTTTGTTCAGTATAAACTAGAGGCTCTATAAAAATTGCATTATAGATACTATATTTACTTACTCTTTCATCTTGTAGGTATATGTGCTTCTTACATATATATAAGGGAGAGGGAGACTGAGGAACAGAGTAATTACTCCTTCTCAAGATGATACTGTGGTTCTCTAGGGGAATGAGGACAGCTACCGCTGTGGCCTAGATTCATAATTTCCCCCCAGAAAGAATGCTAAATACATGGTCATAGCAGTTGAGAGGTGTAAACAGGAATTAAGCACACTTCTGTCAACTTTTATCTAACTGAGTTATCTCATTTCTCTTGAAAAACTTTTGAAAGACTGGTTCTTGCTGTTCACAATCATATTAGCCTACAGGGGATAAGTTATGCATTGAAAAACTACCACGTTTACTTCTCAGAGTGGAGGATTATATGAAGGGAGAAAATACCAGGGTAAGTATATGGGGCCAGAATCCTTGGGCAAATCTGCGTGGAACGAGAAAGGAGCACGCAAGTTTGGCTCAAAGGCCAGAGTTGGAGAGGAGGGATGATTCCGATTAAAGACCAGTGTCATCGCTGGACACTCCTCTGGGACAGTCCCTTCCACAAAAAACATTTATGCCTGAGTTGCAGGGTGAAAGGACTATAACAGAAGTTTAGGTAAACTATAACAGAAGGTTAGGTAGAATCCTGACTTTTTTTAAAAATTCCCATGGCTTGTTAAAGAGGCAAGGAGTACACAACATTAGTTATCTGACACAATCAATGAGAGCAGAGTGAGGAGACAAAGCGGGTGACAACCTGCAATGGCCTTTGAACAGGGTGAGGGGCCCAGGCATCAGAACCAGCAACATCGGTGCTGACTCTGGGGGACAGTAGAGCAGCTACACGGGCACGACTGGGACAAGACAGTATGGACAATTTACCAACAACTTACCATGTGCCATGTCCTGTACCCTTAGCACTTCATATGTACATCATCTCATTTAACCCTTATCAAAACCATGGAAGAGGCTACATGTCTCCTCTTTTTATAGATAAGGAAACTGAGCTTAGCAACGTGAAGCATAGCTTGCTCAGGATCAAACAGCTCTTCAGTAGCGGAGCTAGGATTCTGGGTTGGACGCCAGAGGCCATGCCTCTACATGGTGTCAGTAACCCAGAACGGGGAGAAGGGAGTGGGTGCCAAGGGTCACCCAAGTTAGTCAGCACAGTGAGCCTACACCTCAGATTAACATATAACACTGCCTGTGGGCCCACAGAGCTATTGAGGAGAAATTTATAGGAGTCTGGTGTAGGGAATAGGAAGAACCAGAAACACTGATTTGGGACTGCTATTCTGATGCCAGAAGCCCTGGTGGCACAGTGGTTAAGATCTTGGCTGCTAACCAAAAGGTCAGTAGTTTGAATCTATGAGTTGCTCCTTGGAAACCCTATGCGGCAGTTCTACTCTGTCTTAACAGGGTCGCTATGAATCGGAATCGACTTGACGGCAATGGGTTTGGTCTGGTTTTTTATGGTGATGCTAGTTCTCCCTCCACAATCTCCATTGACCCACCATCACCACTGCACTCCTTCCTGGCTTTACAGAGAACCCTTAACGTATATCACTCTTCTGTAAGATGTACAACCCAGGATGCAAGATGTAGGTACTAGACAACTACAGGAAAGGAGAAACATATCAACCAAAAGAATAAAAATATATACTAGAATCACCATTAATAGCCACATTATTTGGACACTTGGTG